GCGGCGGGGGGGAGGGACTTTTGTCAAATCCATAATAAAATGCAACAATGACAGCGCCGGGAACAGCTGTCGGGGGGGCGGGACGGGACGGGGACGGGAGCAAACAGCCCCCGGCACGTCGGTGTTCCCCGGTGCCCGGCCCGTCCGCCCCGCCGGCAGCGCTCGGCCCCGCTTCCCCCGCCCGGTGCCCGCTCCTGCCCCGAGCCCGGGCTTTATTCCCCCGGTAAGCGGTGCAGACAGAGGCGGAGAGAAGCGGCGTTCCGGCCTCTCCGTTCCCCACGAGCGAACTGCCCCGAGCATCCCCCGGCTCCGGCCCCGCAGCCACCTGGAGCAGTTCTCGGAGCATCCAACCCAAATCTGCCCCCCAAAAAGCCTCCAGCGAGTAGGGAACAGGAGAGGGGAGAGACAGAAAGAAGGAAAGAGTGCAAGACGTTAACAGGAGAACAAAAAACGACCTTCGGAAATGCCTCCCGCCTTCCTGCGCGGCTCTCCCGGCTCCCGGCGAGTCCCCTCTCCCCGGCAGCTCCGCGCAACAGGGTCGGAGCTTCCTCGCACTGGGGTAAATCCCCCGGCCGCCCCCTCCCCGCCGGCCCCCCCGGCCCCTTTGCCTTTGTTGTATTATTTTTACACCCGTGTGTTTCCCAGCTGGCCCGGCAAGCCTCAACCATCCGTTAAATATGTATTTAAAACGTTAAGAAGTGAAGCGTGGAAATGTGGTTCCCAACGGTTGCGGGGATGATCCGTAACAGGTCAATTAGGAAAATCTGTCCCCGCGCCAGCCGGGGCCGCCGCCCGGCGTGTGTCCCGCAGCCTCCCGGCCCGCCCGGGGGGGACACCCCGGGCACGGGGGAGCCCCGGAGGTGCGGGAAGGGGAAAGTCTGGGAGAAGTTTGATTTATTCCGAGCTGGGGAAGCGGCAGCAGAGCCGGGCGCTGCCTGTGGCCGGAGTGCCGGAGCCGCGGAAAGCAGGAGAACAACGAGCACAACGAATTCCAGCCCTGCGCCCTTCCCGGCTCCCGGCAGGGCCCGGCCCCAGGAGTGGGAACGGGCCCCGGGCAGGCCGGGATGGGGGGGTCCCCCCCAGGGCAGCGGTGCTGGCGTGAGAACGAGGAAAACTCCGCATCTCTCGTCTCCTGTGTCCCAGGGCTCGGTGATTTTCCTTCTTAAACCTTTTCTTCCTCAAAGCTCGTACCCGCCAAACGGGGGGGGGGG